GGGAGAGGGATGGTGGAGGGAGGAGGAGGGAGGGGGAGAAAGAAAAGGGAGGGGGAGGAAGGGGAGGAAGGGGGAGCTAGTCAGTTTTCTTTCTTCTTTTTCTAAGAATATGAATGCTATTATGCCATAGTTGGATACCTCCAACCTCATGATCTCAACTAACCCTAAGTATTTCTCCAAAGCTCCACTCCTAAATACATAAAACATGATAGCTTTCACTTAGAGACTTGGCCCAAGTATTCCATAACAGGTATAGATAGTGTCCAATTGTTGGCTTATTTGTTTTTTATGATGTGTGTATCCTATTTTGAAAAACCAATATATATATCACATGTATATATATTGATTTTATATTTATAAATTCGTTTTTTGAGATATGGTTTCTCTATGTAACAGCTCTGGCTACCCTGGAACTCTCTCTGTAGGCCAGGCTGACCTCAAACTCACAGAGATCCACCTGCCACTGTCTCCAGAGTTCTGGGATTAAAGGCGTGCACCACCACCACCTGCACAATTTATATTTTTGAAGCTATGTGTATATGTGCACTTGTGTGTCATTTGAACATGTGAGTTCAGGTGCCATCAAATGCCAGAGGGATCAGATTCCCTGGAGTTTGAGTCACAGGTTTTGGCAAGCTGCCCAACATGGGTGCTGGGAAGAAAATTCAGGTCCTCTACAAGAGCAGTACACACTCTTAAACTGTTGATTCATTTCTTCAGCTCCAAAGTGTGTCCCAGCCTGGTCTTGAACCCAAGGTCCTCCTTGCCTTTGCCTATTTGGCATATGATACCAGCATGCACCACCACCACAGGCTTTAATTTTAATTTTAATGTCTATATGATTTCGCTGATATGATTGGGAAAGATGATATTGGCAAGGATTTAGACAGTCCATTCAGCTTTGATCCAGTTCTGTTCCCTGCCACACACAAAGATGACCAAGAGGCTGTCTACCCACAGACCTTCTCATGCAGGGTGTGCAAAGCAGAGCCTAGAGCTCTGAGACCACAGAGGTTATAAAAACAGTCGTAACTGATGAGTGATGATAATGATGGTGGTGGTGGTGGTGGTGGTTGGCTTTTTTAATTCAGTGCACATCCTGTGTATCTCAGACCCGCTTCTGAGCACTTTACATACAGCTGTAGTGGCCCCTTGCCTTGCCAGTGAACTTGTAATGGTGGCCATGACGCACTATACAGTTCTACTTCTGGTTAGGACATTTCAGTTTACCTTTGTTTTAGGGATTTACATATATACGTATATAGTTACAAATTTAGGTCATTGTCCTTGCTACACATCAGCTTTAAGGTTGTTTAAATTATATTTGGGAAGCTTCAGTCACTAAGCAATTATGTTTCTGAGAATTACACATTATAGTTACCCACGCTTCTTAAACTTAATGATGTTAGTGAGATTCTATATGTGCTCAGAGATATACCCAACATAGATATTTTATCTTCAAACACTTCAAAGACCTACAGAATATGACATTTAAATGTTTTAACAATGAGAACTCCATTGACAGAGATAATGGACACTGTTGACACTCCATTTGGAGTTTGTTTTCTTCTTGGCTACTGGCCTTTTGGACAAAGAAATGCCCCTACCTCAACTGCTGACTTTGGCCACACTGTCCTAACTGGGTTAGTAGGAGACAAACTTAAAGAGACTGCTAAATCTTGCAAGACAGAGTAAGACAGTCTTTCATTTTCCCTGCCTGAGGGGATGGTCTGTCTTTTACTTTAGGCCTTTGCCAAGATTGGTTGCCCTGACATTACTGTGATACGTTGGGTGACTGTCCAGGTGGGCTGCTGTTTCTGTCTTTGCTTGTACCTTTAAGGAGTCCCATGCTTGCTCTTCCTGCTTACCCTAGTAATGTCATTTTCCTTCTCAGGTCTTTGACGAGGTTAAAGACTAGACTGTCATAGCAATATCCTCTCTTATCTTAGATAAAAATAATACTAGGTACAAGGCTTAGACTTCCCAAATTAGGACAGCTATGGGAATAATCTCTGTTATTTGCCATTACCCTGGGACTGGACATGTAAAATGTGTCTATTGCTCGATGTTGCTCTTTCTGGTTACAGGTCTTAATTTGTGTATGTTTTCACCTTTCCTTCTCCTGGAATATACTTGACGTTTGTTATCATTGTATGTATTTTTTATCAGGCTGAAAACCTTCTTCTTTAGACAAAAGGGGAATTGTAGTGGAATTCCTTGCCAGTAAACTTGTAGTGGGGGCCTCACCCTATGAGCATGGTTTCAGTTGCAGGTGTAGCCCATTATAAGGTAGAAGAGAGGCTGGTTCAAGCTCCCTTGGGTTGCAGAGAGCATCAGAAGAGCAGAGACTGCATCTTCTGGAGCAGGAAGACCATGGCAGTTATTTACTCCTATCTGCATAAGTGCTTCCCTGACAAACACCTATATATCATTTATCTTGGGTCTGGTGGACTCATTTAAACTCTGCCTTCGTACAGTCTAGCAGAGTTCCCTGGAACTCTGTGAGGGAGGTATAATTAGACAGAACCCTACAGAGGAACACTTATCTGAGGTTACATGGGGCCACAGAAATAGCAAAGTGGTAGAGTTGGAGTTCACCTACCTGCCTCGTGGGTTTGCAGAACAGCAGCACACACCGCCTGTGCTGCAAGCACATCCTGGGAAGGTCTCTTGCCTGCACTCTCCATCCCTAGCCAGCGCACTGAGGAGCAGTTCCCTTATCCCTCTCACTCCTTCTGCCCCCACTCTCCCTTTTCTCCCCCTCTTTCTGGCAGTGACATGCATGTTCTAGGGTCTGGGTGCAATTCACAAAAAGCTGGAGACTCACTTTTGCCTTGGTTGAGCCATGGCTAAATCTTTAGAAATAGTTAAGGTCCTAGCTCCAAACCTCTCTATCTTTTTATATAAATACAGATGAAGTAAGAAATGAGAGAAAATAATTTAATGTTCCATTTTACAAAATCGAGTAATCAAATTCCTACTCAAAGGAGAACACGGGTGTCCAAATGCTCTTAATGCTATTTTTAGCTCTTTAAAAGCTCTAGACACAATATTTTGACATTTAGTAATTCTACTATATGAGTAGTCAGGATAGGAATTCACCTTTTTTCTACATTTTTATTTCCTTGTGAACTCATTTGAAAGACATTTGATTCTCCAAATTGCCAGATATGCCCTTATTGGTTTAGTTGTTTTCCAAATAATACTGGGACATTTTGAGGCATTTACATAAATACTTGAATATATTAAAGTACTCATCATAATATAAGAGCACATTACAAGATATGATGTTTTCTGAAGCTATTAAACATAACATTTTGCTGGGTGTTGGTGGTACACACCTTTAATTCCAGCACTCAGGAGGCAGAGGCAGGCGGATCTCTGTGAGTTTGAGGCCAGCCTCGTCTACAGAGCGAGTTCCAGGACAGACTCCAAAGCCACAGAGAAACCCTGTCTTGAAAAACTAAAATAAAAAAAAACACATAACACTTCATGTAGAAATTGAGACAACAGAGCGGGAGAGAAATGGGGATAAAGAAATAAATTGAAGCATCAGTAATTATTTTTAAAATAATCCTTATAGCTGTAACTTTGTATCTGAAGATGACAATATGGGAAACCATTTTCCCTGTATGGATTTTCTATATGTTTAGAATTCCTTTCATTAAAGGGGAGAAAACATGTCACCCTTTTTCCCTAAGAATAAGTATTTCCCAGGGTGGAGATAGATGCTCAGGTGGGAGTGTGTACCGCTCTTTCAGAGGCCTCATGTTCGGGTCCCAGCGCCCACATGTGGTGGCTCACCAGCATCTGTGACTCCAGCTCCAGGGTGCCGGGCTTCTGGTCTCCACGGGCGCCTGCACTCCTCATGTGTATACACCATGTGTATACACTGCACACACATAGTTGAAAAATGAAAATCGAGCTTTTTAAAGCAGGATGAGCACGGAGTAGCAGTGATACTGAAAGACCCCGAATTTATAGAAATAAAATATAAGCTTAAACAGGGAGGGCACCCCCCTAGAGAACTTGGGAAGTGAACAAAGGACCCCATCCCAGGAACTGGCCATACCACAGAATGGAATGTATGGTTTAGAGACCTTAATTGCAGAAGGGCTGTAAATCCACAAAAAGCCAATTATGGGCTGCCATCTGTGAAGAACTGACCAGAGCAAACAAGACTAGTGGGAAACAAAGAGATAACACTATTTACTTAGGGAGAGATAATTAACTCATGCCAAGGTTTGAGGAATTTACAATATGAAGGACATCTACTTCCCTGGGTCGGGAGTCACGTACCCCCTTCCCCCGTCACGAGATAAGGACCCCTCCCAAAAGCTTGTGTTTTTTGTCTTTAAAAGCTGATTGTAACTGAACCTCGGGGCCAATCGGTCTAAAAGCTGACCGAGAGGCCCATCTGCAGATGCCTAATTAAAGCCTCTTGCGTGTTGCATCAATTGGCACGTGGACTCTTGATTCTTGGGGTGACAAATCCAGCTTGGGGACCCCTCCTCAATTCGGGGTACCCCAACAATACCACAGGTGTGCTAGTCATGCTGACTGTAGCTCCACATCAACCTCCGGCCAGCAGGGCATCGGCTCCACTCAGGTGTGAGGAAGCTGAGAGAAGGGTGGTTTCATACAGCCAAACGGCGGGGTACTCACATCCCTGTCGGGACTGAGTACAGATACCTCTGGCTCAGTGCTCTGCTCCTGCAGATGGCTCCGGTAATGCCCCTTGTTTAAACTGCGTAAGTCTTCAACAGTTCCAGCATTAAGTTCCCCTCCCCCACAATGCCTCATGTCGTTCCAGAGTTGGTCCCCAGATCATCAGTTATGGAAACTACCAGGTGAGCCCCAACGGGAGGTCTTCTGGCCATTGGCTTTCTCCCTGAAGTAGCTCACAGGACCCCCCCCCATTGTAGCGACCTCAGGCTACAACACTTCTCAAGGATTTGGGCGAGGGCCTAAGGATAGAAATGAAGACAAAAGACAGCTTCTCATTCTTGCAAGGAGAATGGAATTTATTGTAACAAGAGCGGAGCTTTACAAACCTGTCAGCAGGCACTGTGGAAAACTACCAAGGTCAGAAGCTCACATTCCCAGGGCCCTCCGGCAATAAGGATGGGCGGATAACAGGAACTTGAATTCAGACAATAAGGATGGGCAGAACACAGGAACTCACATACAGGATTTACTGGAAGGAGGGAACAAGAGGTATTTGTTAGTAGCTCCTAGTCACAATGGGGGAAGGGTCCAACACCTCATCCTCAGGACCTTTTGCCTTCTGGTGATGGGATGGGCAGTATTACACCACCACATGTTCCTGCCACAATCTGATTCCCCACCCCACAGAGCAACATAGGCCATTACTAATGTGTGTGTGTGTGTGTGTGTGTGTGTGTGTGTGTGTGTGTGTGTGTGTGTATGTGTGTGTGTGTGTGGGGGGGTGTTCCGGAATCGGTAACACTGGCAGTCAGGGACTGAGTGTTAAGGGAACCATCAGTACCTAAGGCTGGACCTTTGTAATGTATAGTCTTCCAGGCAGCCCGCATAGGTCCAGCCACTGTCCCAGCCCCCAAATAACACACGAGACACTGTATTAATTATGAAGCTGTTGGACGTTTGCTTGGTTTCTTATCAGCTAGCTCTGACTTAATTATTAACCCATAACTCTAATCTGAGTATTTCTCTTACCGGAGAAAAGGGTCTGGACCTCTTACTTCTCCGGTGTCCTATAGGGGGACTGTGCCTCTGTTTCCCAGAATCCTCCTGGACTCCTAGTCCTATCTATCTTGCTTCCCTATTGGCCAACAGTGCTTTATTTAATAAACCAATAAGACCACATATACACAGAAGTACTTCCCCCATCAGACCTTGAAGCCTACCCAAGTGGTCCACAGAGCAAACTTCAATTATGCACAAAGTTATGGCTACTGATGGCCATTTGACTTTCAAAGTAGTTCCCACGGGACTTTGTATGTAGTTCAGGGGTGTGGTGCTTACACCACCTGCACAACTCCAGGATGCAAAACAGTTCATAATATCCCCCATCCAGAATGTGTGAGGCCAGAGATTTGGGAATATTTATGCATACATTATGGGGTTTGGTAAGGACGAGAACAAAGTCAAAACACGAAATTCATTCACTTTTACATTCACTGTACACACAGAGCCTGATGTCAATTTTTTTTTTTTTTTTTGGTTTTACGAGACAGGGTTTCTCTGTTTTGGAGGCTGTCGGTCCAGCCTGGCCTCGAACTCACAGAGATCCGCCTGCCTCTGCCTCCCGAGTGCTGGGATTAAAGGCGTGCGCCACCAACGCCCGGCGCCTGATGTCAATTTTATACAAGACCTTCCTTGCTGGAAGGAATGGAATGTCTCACTAGATCTGTGTCAGTGCTCAAATATTGCTAATGTCTGGCACTGGAGAGATGGCTCAGCAGTTATGAGCACTTGCTGCTCTTGCAGAGGACCTGGGTTCTATTCCCAGCACCAGTGTCGGGCAGCACACAACCTTCTATAATTCTCGGGCAGCACACAACCTTCTATAATTCTAGCCCCAGGGAATCCAACACCCTTTTTTGGCCTCCTTTAGCACCTGTGTCCATGTTAATTGTTAGATAATTATTCATTTCTGGTTTGGTTATTTTATTATCTTGTTTTACTATGATGGACTCTCTTGTTTTCTCTCTCTTAGATGCATGGCATTATGTACTATATCTGGAGGTTACATCTGTTCACACACCTAAAATATTGTTTGTCAAATCTCAAGAAATGGACTTCATGGCCAAGTTTACGGATTTTGATATAACATTTTCATTCATATGTACACACACACACACACACACACACAAGACAACTAATGTGGACCTCTGACCTCAATACACACAAGCACATAGATGCGCACACAGTGTACATACCCACACCAACATGTACACACAAAGTCTCAAATTTTGTTACTTCTAAATTTAAAATATGGCAACACAAAAAATAATTCCCCTGTGTCTTGATTTAAATAAGAAGGGGAAGAATAAAGAAAAATGTAGGAGGGATCAGCAAAGAAAGGATATAATTGAACATCTGTTTCCATCAAAGTTGAATGTCCGGTGTTCACCCTACCTCATCCTGGCAGTGTATGTGGAAGTTCAGCTTCTCCTTGCACCTGAAGCCCATCAGCTCTGCTAGGCCTGCTGGCCAGCTCAACCCAGGGTTCTGCATGTCCCCCGCACCCCAGAACACACAAGCACTTGGGTAACACATGTGTCTTTAGTTTCTTGATAAAGAAAAAGAGAGACAGAGAAAGGGGTTAGCTTGTATGGAGGTTTGAATTAAAAAAATGACCCCATAGGCCCATAGGGAGTGGCACTATTAGGAGGTTGGCCTTGTTGGAGTGGGTGTGGCTTTGTTGAAGGAAGTGTGTCACTGAGAATGGACTTTGAGGTCTCAGATGCCCAAGCCTGGCCTAGTATTTCAGTCTTTTCCTGCTGTCTGTGTATCTGGTGTAGAATTCCAGCACCCTGTCTGCCTGTATGCTGCCGTGCTTTCTGTCATGATAATAATGGACTAAACCTCTTAAACTGTAAGCCAATCCCAACTAAAGGTTTTCCTTTATAAGAGCTGTAGTGATCGTGGTGTCTCTTCATAGTAATAAGATCCTAAATATGACAGCTTGGCTAAAGGGTTAGAGATTCGGTGTGACTGTGACAAGGCTGCCCATTGCAGTGGACGTAAGTAGCTACACAGATCTGCTTACCTCAAGGACAGAATTTCTATGGTGGGATACTAGGGTCTCATTATCCCTTTTATGGGCACATCTCCAGGGATCCAAAGACCTCCCATAAGTTTCCATGTCTTGAATGTTCTCCATGTCCCAATAGCGCCACAGGTGGGACACCTTAACTTTATTAATTGGCTCTCTGGGGGAAAATTATTCCCATTTCCCCATCACTGATAAATCAACAGGCATTCTCTGAGCTCTTACATGTAACATGTTTACATGGATATTCCATGAGACTAGCAGAGATGTAAACCAAGGTGCACACAGTGAGGATCGGCCACAGAGGCTCACTCAGAGACAGTGGCATCCTGATGAAGACAGCAGGTGGGATGGATCCCCACACAGGGACGCACTGAAGTTGCAGGATAGTGGGATGGAACAAGAATGGGAGGCAATGGGCAGTCCCTGGGAAAACAAACATGAAAATATGGATGTGGGAATAAGATCCTCAGGTCTCCTGGCAGTGAATCAGCTTGGTCAGAATGGAAGGAGTAGGTCTTTCAATGCAGTGGAGCAGTCGGGCTGCGGGGAGGATGGGAGACAGGGTCATGATAACAGCAGGGCCATGATGCGGCCTACACTACCCAAAGGCACCTCCTAAAGATATTTTGGAGAACTGAGGCATTTCTATTTTGTACTTCTGAAATAAAATAGACCTGGCTTGTTTACTTGGGTTTAAAATAAATCAAAAAGAAATCGACTGGCTTATAGGTTTTTCAAACATTCCAGACTTTTGTTTATACAGGGAAGGATTTTTGTCCAAAGGTCAAATTTCTCCTGCTGTAATCACCTTTATATATCTAAGTTCAGTATTATTCTAGTTCCATAAACAAGCTTAAAATAGGAGTTGATAATACCATCAGATTTGAACAGGGGAAGGGCTTCACATTTCTCTGTGTCTACAGCCAAGTGCATTTTTTTTCAAGCAAGGTCAGTGGTTTGGACATACAGTTTGGAAAAGGTTTTGCATTTTGTGGAATGGGTTTTAGCAGCTCACCAGGAATGTTCCCAACCCTGTTTTTCCTTAACTCAAAACTGAGCCAAGGTATATGATATCAAAACTTGCTTTAAAGGGTTAACTAAAACCAGCATACCAGAAAAGATTAAAATCCTATTGATTGATTAAATGACATCTTTAATGAACAGCAACAGTGTGTAAAATATGTCTCCATGGTTTTCTCTAGATACGGAATTGCAAATAGCTTTAATTTTCCTTTGGGTGCTTATCTGTATTTTTCAGTGTTTCCACAGGAAGTAAATATTCTTTGTGTAATTTTTTAGTCAAGTTAATATTTAAAAATGTAAGAATCGGAATATACATGGGATCCTAAAAACTGTTACATTTAACATGGAATCACAAAGGGATTTTATCATTATAGCACAGAGATGGGAAAATAAGTTTTTTCTTAGAAGGCAGCTATGATAATTTACCATGGGTATGATAAAAATATAACCCAGTGGTTCTCATATATAAATACTTATGACTGCCAGGCGGTGGTGGCGCACGGTTTTAATCCCAGCACTCGGGAGGCAGAGGCAGGTGGATCTCTGAGTTCGAGGCCAGCCGGGTCTACAGAGTGAGTTCTAGGACAGCCTCCAAAACAATACAGCGAAACCCTACCTCGAAAAACCAAAATAAATAGACAGACAGATAGATAAATAAATGCTGTGATACTGTTGGACAAAGATTATCTTACCGTTCCTATGCCATCTGGAACATTGTTCAGGTCCCAGAGGATGTAAAGCACAAACTCTTGTGCTCACTGGCCACTCCCTCTCACTGCCCAGTTAAGTTACCCTGTTGCTGCTGCTCATCCCTTCACTGGTATCAAAACCCGTGCTTCCAGGTTGCCATCCTTGACTCAGGGCCAGCAGCTCTCCAAGACCCCCCCCCTCCAGATTTTTGGAGACAGATTGGGACTACTGAGGCATTTAGTCACATGGACTGAGCAACTATGAACTGTCAGCGTTTCCACTGTGAGACAGCCACTGTGGATCTCTGACTGCTGAGACACTGAGCCTCAAGGACTAAGCAACTACTGTATTCTTAGCCCCTCAGGTGTGAGGCAGATATTTATATTTCACGTGCATTCATCATATTGATTCAATTCTTCTAGGAACTCTAATTCAAATTCTCTTCTCTCCCTCCCTCCCTCCCTCCTCTCTCTCTCTCTCTCTCTCTCTCTCTCTCTCTCTCTCTCTCTCTCTCTCTCTCTCTCTCTCTTTCTGCGGTGTGTGTGTGTCTGTGTGTGCTGTGTGTGCGTGTGGAGGTCAGAGGAAGGACAGCCTTGGGTGTTGATTCTTGCCTTCTACCATGGTCTCTTGCTTTGCTGTTGTGGATGCCAAGCTAGGTATCCCATCAGCCTCTGGAGGAGGACTACTGGTATAGAAGAAGGAGGAGGAGGAGGAGGAGGAGG